CACAGTCTTCGTGAGAGTAAGTCAGTCCATAACCCAATGGCGTGGATGATAGGGTGCAACTTTGAAGAAGGCTACGGCGATTCACTTTAAAATCACCAAACTACAACTTGAGCACACAAGCACACACGCACTTAAGGACAATTTGGCAGATAGGATCAGTAAGAGAGTTGTTCGGAACGCCACAGAAAAGTTGGGGTTACTTGATCTAGCCTGGTTGCCGCGCTGTCTTGCAGTCTCCGGCCAGTCAGTATTTATTCCATTTCTGGTATATTCACCGACAGTTAGCGACTGGCTCGAACTGGCACTGTATCAGTTAGCTAACGACAGATAAGTATACATAAATTGTACCCCCACGCCCCGGACTAAGGGTGTGACTGCAGGACTCTTGAATGTGGTCCTCTGTACCTTAGGTTGTATCAGAGTCCAAGAAAGTTTGCGTTGTGGTCCGCGTAGACAGAAGCGGCGAGAAAGGTAAAGGCGAGATGTTTGTGCGCAGGGATAAACCCTAATTTCCATTCTTCACAAGTTGAGACAATGCCGAGAACAGCGAGAAGGTATCGGGGTAAGAAAGCACAGCGCAGAGCGGGAAAAAGTAACGCAAAAGGCAGAAAAAGACCTACCTGAAGAGCTTGGCATTCCGCAGAAACGCGGTCATATTCCTTGGACATCTGATCGGCCTGTTTTTTTACCATGTCTCTGTCGGTCTCAATGCGTTTCCGCTCTGCAAAGTAACATTTAAAAAGGCATTAAAGTAATTGAGGAAGAGTTGATTTGACAAGTAGAATTGGCTATAATAAGTAAACCTCCATTGGATGAGAAAGAAATTAGACACATAGAGCAGGCGAGAGCATATGGTGTTTGGAACGGAAAAGGGTCGGTGAAGGTTAGTAGTTGGTCACTTTTGATGTTCCTGATGGCAGTCGACAACATGTGAGCTGGCAGAACAGTCTTAACTGGCAGACCAGTCAGTTCGGTGATAAGATTCAAATTTCGGGTCGTCCCGTCGTGGGCCATTGCATGGCTGGCTGATTCGGATAAGCTGGCAAACTGAATAGATGAAGTATAGGTGACTACTTTAATGGCTGAAGAGTTCATTTGTCTCAAACGAGGAGGACAGACACTGGCCAGCAGGTGACGTCGCAGCGACTTGCACGTGGTGAAACTGAAACAAGGGGTTCATGCTATCATATATGGCGGGTTAGACGACTGGCGATAGTTGCGAGGGCAAAGAGGAAACAACCCGTCTACGCGTGCCACACGCAGCCTGGTTCCTAATTTTCAGCCAAACCGAAACTCGGAAAAGCAGGAATCCCAAGTTTCGTTAAGGCTACATTAGGGAACCACTGCGGTCTTACGTCTGATCTGAATGAATACTCAAATATTACGCCAGTCGGATACATCCCGAGTCATAACTGTCCTCTTGTCTATGGTGGAGAAAGCAGGTGGTATGCTCAAACTGCACTCTCCTATTTAGCGCGTCCAATCCAATAGGTTTGAGGAATAGGACTTGAGGTTACCGCCGCATTCGGACCAAAGGTTCGATCATCGATTTCGCTTATGCCAACGTTGACTTGCGTGTGAGGTGGTTTAAAGTGATAGAAGACACACGCTGCATCGATCACACTCTCCCCTCCTTTCCCCACAAGGGCCCAGTGTCAAGATAAAGTCTAGAGGACCGGAGGCGGGAGCCCGCGCAGGTGGCTGACGCGGCCGAAGCCGCC